AAGCAAACCTATGGTTTGCTATGCCAGGAACAATAAATTGAAGAGGAATGACACCACATTCATCATTCATGGTCAGAAAGAACATTTCAAGATTTACTTTGTAGTAGAACACTGTCTGTGATAGGATAATACCAACACACTTACAAGGTAGACCAGTTAATAAGACTATCATTCAAATTTACCCACCAACCACTAAAGTCACAAATGATAAACTGAAGAATTCTACCAACTTCTTCAGTCTTAAATCAATTAAACATGCAGTCAAGATGCACTGATGATTACTGATGATTGGAAATAAAGAAGAAGGATCAGTAGTTATAAAATATGCCCTTTGGTGATAGAAAAGGTACTGGAAATTGCATGATAAAATTTTGCAAGACCAACACTTTATCAACAACTGAAAAGGTGACTATACATATAGACCAGGCCAGATGGAATACACAGGGATCAAATCAATTACATCTGTGGAAAGACACAATGTAGAAGCTGAATATCATCAGCCAAAACAAGGCCAGGGGCAGACTATGAAACAGATGATCTATTGCTTATATGCAAGTTCAGGCTGAAACTGAAGAAAATGCAAACAAGTCCACAAGAGCCAAAACATGACCTTGCATATATTCCACTGGAATTTAGAGACCATTTCATGAACAGATTTGATGCTAATGAACTAAGACCAGAAGCTGTCATTAAGAACATCATACATGAAGAGAAAAAAGGTCCCTTAAAAGACAGGAAAGAAAGAAAATACCAAAATTGATGACAGAAGAGACTGTGAAACTTGCTCTTGAATGTAGAGAAATGAATGTGACTGAAGAAACAATGAGCTGCTGAAAAGAAAATTTTACAGGGCAGCTCCAAAAGACAAAGTAAAGTATTATAATGAAATGTACAAAAACCTGGAGTTAGAAAATCAAAAGTGAAGAAATGTTCAGTATTTCTCAAGCTGAAAGAACTGAAGAAACACATTCCAATCTCAGGTTCAATACTGAAGGATTCTATGGGCAAAATTCAGGAGAAAGTTGAGATTTAGCTCCTGCAAAGATTGACAGCTTCAGAAACCCTATACAGCATCACTATGCGTTGGCACCCACCCAACGGTACTTAGCAACAACAACAGTGGCCAAAATTTTGAACAATGCAGAAAGCATCAAAAGACAATTTTAGGAGTACACAAAGTCACCATACCAAGAAGAATTGGCCTATGTTCAATTTCAAGAGATAGCACATGGTCATGAAGGAAGAAGTCTAAGCTGTATTGATGAAATTTGTGAAAAACAAGGCATCAGAAATTGATTAACATTATCAGTAATATCACTTGCAAGTAAAATTTTTGCTTAAGATAGTTAAAAAATGGTTGCAGCAATACATCAATGAGGATCTCTCTGAAAGTCAAACTGCATTAAGGAATGAGGGAAAACATGGCTAACATCAGTTGGGTCTTGACTGAAAGCAGTAGATACCAGAAAGATGCTTAGTTGTGCTTTATAAACTATGCAAAGAAATTTGCATGGATTTTAAAAAATGATGGATAACTTTGTGAAGAATGAGAATACTAGAACACTAAATTGTGCTCATGAGGAACCTGCACATAGACCAAGAGGCAGTCGTTAGAACAGAACAAGGGTTTAAAATCAGGGAAAGTATGTGTCAGGCTTGTATCATATCACCATATTTTATTCAATCTGTATACTGAGCAACTAATCCAAGATGGTGAATTATCTGAAGAAGAACACGGCATCAAGATTGGAGGAAGACTCATTAACAATCTGAGATACACAGATAACACAACCTTCCTTGCTAGAAGTGAAGAGAACTTGAAATACTTACTGTTGAAAATCAAAGACTATAGTTTTCAGTATAATTGCAAATAAATGCAAAGAAAATTAAAATCCTAAAAACTAGGCTAATAAATGATATTATAGTAAATGGAGAAATGATTGAAGTTGTCAGAGACAACTGGATTTTACTCAGATCCACAATCAATGCTCATAGAAGCAACAGTCAAGAAATCAAAAGTTAAATAGCAGAGTTGTCATTTTGGGGACTAAGGTGTGTGTAACCCAAGCCATGGTGTTTTCAACAGCTTCATATATATGTGAAAGTTGGACAATGAATAAAGAAAGTTACAGAAGAATCAATACATTTGATTTATGGAGTTGAAAAAAAATATATTGAAAATACCATAGACTATCAGAAGAAAAAGTCAATTTGTCTTGGAAGAAAGCCAGAATGCTTCTTAGATGTGAGGATGGCAAGATTTGGACTCGAATACTTGGGCCATGTTAGGAAGGAGAATGGACATCATACTTGGAAAAGTGGAGGTCAGTTAGAAAACAGGAAGACAATGAAGGCTTGATATAGTGGCAGCAACAATGGGCTCAAATATAACAATTATGAGGCTGATGCAGAACCAGGCCAGTGCTTCATTCCGTTGTGCATAGGATTGCTATGAGTCAGAACCAACTCTACAGCAACTAACAACAACAACAACACAACAACAATTAAAACATTTATTTTACAGCATATAAAATTTTGATCCAGATAAACTGTATATTTAAAGTCACAAAATTAGTCAGGGTTGGAGATGAGTAGTTGAGACCCCTGACTTCTAGTCTGGAGTTCCATCTATTATATCATGCAGAACCATCATAGTGACTCAGCCCAAAAAATATATTGTATTTTAATTATCTGTAAGTGGATATGTCATTATATACAATACCTATAACGTCCAAACATATCTTCTCCTCTCATCCCATAGTAAAGCTTTTATAAGGCCACCTAGTCTGGTTAAGTATGGCTAAGACTGACCATTTTATGCAATAGTTAAATTTCAATATCAGTGCTTAAGATAAAATTTTTATTATAAAAAATTAGCCTTAAAAGCCTTAAATCCCACTGAAAGTAACAACAGCCAACATTAAACAGTGTCAACAAATATTGTTAAATGCCTTTGAGTCTGTTCCAACTCGTAGTGACCCTGTATAGGGTTTCCAAGGAGTGGCTGGTGGGTTTGAACTACTGAATTTGAGGTTGGCAGTCCAGTGTTTACCCTACAGCATCATACCAGGAATATATATCATTCATCTATCTATCTATCTATCTATCTATCTATCTATCTATCTATCTATCTATCTATCTATCTATCTAATACAAGTCCATAAGAACAAAAATATGACCTAGACTATATCCTACCTTAATTTAATTTACATACCATTTCATGAACAGATTTGATGCATTAAACACTAATGACCTAAGACCAGAGAAGACGCGGATGACATCAAGAATATCATACACGGAGAAAACATGATATATATGTGAAATATGAAGTATCTGTGTGAGAGGACTTCATAAAGTTCAGGAGGAAATTCCATTACCTTTCAATTCCATTTTCCCACAAACTTTTGGAAGCCCCCTTGTATATAAACAGCTAGAAAGAGATGACATCAAAGAATCTGTTACTATGGATGAGTCAAATATGGACTATAGCAATGTGTTAAAAACTTTTGTTTTGCATGTGCTGCAACATTTAGTTTTTCTTTGTTGCTATCCCAGAGGATGCATTCCGTTTAAGGTTTAAATTTAAGGGTCTTGAAGTGTGGAAACACTAGTCACAAATTCAATTTCATACTCCTTCTAGGGAAGATACTCTTTAAGTGGGATGACATGACAGTGAATTCATGAATTTTATTGTTATTTCTCTTTCACTGTATTTCTTTGCTGAAGACATAAAGTTAAATTAAACTGTTAAATGCACATAAAATATGACCATTGTGCATGCTCTTTCTCTACTAAATCTTGGTACAGAAATGTTTTCAATAAATTAATAAGAAAAAATTTTAAATTGACATTATATTTGCTCATAGAATTGACCTACTTTTGAGCACTCTACCTCTCTATACCAGAATCATACAATGTATGAATTCTAGGATTAAAACACTCTATTTACTCAGGATTTTTTATAGTCCCAATTAAATCTTTTATATTATGAGAAAAATGAAGGGACTAGGGATTTAAGGAACACATTTAAAAGACAAAGTAAATGAAAACCTTAACAAACAAAAGGAAACCTGCAAGTGAGGATGTCTCGTTTCTCCGTGGGTGCAGTGCGGTTTGTAAAATCAGCAATTAGGAACACTGACAGGCTGTTATTGATGTATCCTCTCAAAGGTTCCGTGGCATTTGTTGAGTAGGCATAAAAGTAAACTAAACGGGGAATGATGTCCGATGTAAATGCAACAATAAAGGCCTGAAGGACAAAGTGAACAATGGAAAACATGAGCTGCTAATTCAAGCGTAAATATACCATCTCTGTATATCTTTCCACTTCATGAGCCTTCTGATTGTTTCAAAATTAATAAAACCCTTTGATGACTCATTTTAATATGCAACTCTTGGCCTAAAACAAGAACTATAGCTCATTTACACAGTATGGGATTACAGATACAGTATCCCATAGCTAGAAAGTGACTTGAGTTTAGAATGGAACCTAATTATATCGCTCTCTTAGAACCATGCTTTTTCCATTGCCTTGCTGTTTCCTAAGGCTTTGTAACAATGCTCTGTTGTCCTTTAACAAATTTAATTGCTTGTGCTAATTCTGTAAGTTACAGGAAATGACTAGATAGAAGACTTCTGGACAGTAAATTTATCACAGTTCTGTGATATTGATTCCATAGGGATGAAAATTTCCCATAATTTCCCAACATTTGAAATAGTATATATAACACACTTACTTGTTTTATTTATAACATAGATAACTCATTTCCAAAACCATTTGTTGTTGGTAAGTGCCTCCCAGTCGGTTCCAACCCATAGTGACTGTGTATAGGGTTTCTGAGAAGTGGCTAGTGGGTTAGAAGCGCTAATGCTGTGGTTAGCAGTGCCATCTTTATCCAACAGGGCCACACTAGGACTGTATATTTTTGGTGACTGACTGTTAAATACCTTTATCATTGCTTTCATCGTTACTCTACTCAGGTTTTCTATCACTTACTGAAAACATTTTGGAAAATTTCATTTTCTAAAAAAGTGACTATTTCAAATACATTAAAAAACTTATTGGAATAAATGAGTATAAAACAGTCACTTAAATTTTTTTTTTTAGCTCATTTGTACTCATTGTAATTGCTTTTTTCATGTTCAAGTTGGCCAGCATTTGTCTAACTGATTTGTCTTTGTAGTAAACCACACTTGACTTACTAACAATTGTTGTTTTCTAATTTGGTATCTCTGCCTATATGTTTAACAATTCTTTCTTAGTTTCTTCAGTTACATGCTTAGTTCATGTTTTGCAGTCTTCCTTTTCAAATAATGAAAACATTCATAATTAAATTTTTATGGATACTTTTATTAAATGTGGTTTTAACAGATTCTTATAGGTTCTCCTCCTGGTGTGGAGCTGTGGGTTAATGTGCTGGACTGCAAAATCACTTTGGATCGTGAGGTCAGCTGTTCAAGCTCACCACTTGCTCCTTGGAAACCCTATACAGGGTCGCTATGGCTCGGAATCAACTGGAAGGCACTTAATAACAACAACAAGGCTATAATTTAAGAAGCTCTGGTAGTGGTTACTCGGTTGCCAATGGAACACTTGACTGAATCTATAAATGGTTCTACAGGAGAAAAGACCTAGCTATCTGTTTTTGTAAAGATTGTTATTGTTGTTTGTTACGTGCCATTGAGTCAGTCCTGACTTACAGCAACCCCATATGAGGTTTCCAAGGAGCAACTCGTGGGTTTGAACTGCTGACCTTGTAGTTAGCAGTCCAGTGCTGATCCTACGGCACCACTCCAGGCCTAGGAAATCCTATAGGACAGTTCTACTGTGTTCTTCAGGGTCACAATGAATCAGAATTGACAGGACGGCACACAACAACATGCTTTTATTTCAATATTGTTTCCTTTTTAAAGAGGGCTTACACAGAAGAGTGAATGTAAGGGGTTAGATTTTTGTTTTCATTATATTATTACCAACTTATGCTTTTAAAACATTGTCACAGGTAGTATGCATGGTAAAATTTCTACTTTTGAAATTTGGTTTGCTTATCATTTTAACACAAATGCTCCATAAATACTTTCTGTTTGTTAGCACATAAATTTACTTGCATACAATAAATATGTATTATTCATATCCTTATGTCGCTAATTTTCCACGTACTTTATGGAACATGTATTATGATATTTGAATGAGAATGGTTTTATAAATTTCATTATATTTTAAACAGCTTGTATATCATAGATTTCTCTGAAATGCTTAGTGTATAAAAGTTCAGGAATATTTTGTGTTTATGGGCTGTCACCATGATGAGATCAATGCCATAAATACTGAACTAAACACCTTTCACATCTCTCCATCGCCAAGGAAATGAAAGACGATACTAAATCACTTCAGTGAATTAAGTCTACTTACATTAGTTGCAACAGAAAGGACAGCCATGCCATATAGAATGTCTTGCCAGACTCCTATGCTGTGAGCTTTAGCAGCTACAGGTCTCCTGTACTGAGTAGTAAGTTTCCAGGCATCAACTCGGATCTCTATAATATTATTCAAAAGAGCAAACAGAGGGGCCAGAGGAAAAGAGGCCACAAATAATGTAACAAATCCAAATTGGATAACTGTAGAGAAAAAAAAAAAAAGAAAAAAGCAAGAACTCATTATTATAGAGAGGGACAGTGGGAACATTTTAGCTGTCTCCTGCCACTTCCTTCAATTTATGAGGCTCTTCATCAGCAAAACGGTCTCTTTCCACCTGCCCACATCCTCTTCCCCATAGCTTTCTTACTAGGACTAGAAGAAGAAACTGGGCTTACGTTCTCCATTGCTTTTCCTTTTGAGATCTTACTTGTTTGAAGGATCTATTTTTCTTTGCTTTTCCTTATGGATTAAGTTTAGTTCTATGATGGCCTAGTCTTTATATTTACATATTAACACATTTGTAGAATAATCAAATTTTCTATCTTGCTAATGTATATGATTTTCCAGTACTCAGCATGTGCTGAGCATATAAAGGTGCTAAACTGTGAGCATTATAATGAATGCACTATGTAAGAACTGAAGCAGCCAAGAGAGAAAAAGTGCAAAATAAGTGAATTGAGTATAATAGGTGAATAAGGAAATCAATCATCTAAAGCAATCAGAACAAATTATAAGAGCAAAAATTATGCATTTTCCAGAATGAGGTATTTGTTACGTTTCTGATCCTCTGAACTATCTTGACATCTTTCTAAATAAGTATTATTTCTTCACTAACAATGAACAGAAATATTATGTGTCTTTCCACATTATTCTTTTGTTTGTAGCAATAGTTTTGGGTAAAAAACCCAAAAAACTCGGAGTTTGAACTTACCTAAAGACTGAAGGGAGAACAATGAGAACCTCAGAAATGGCTTTTAGTTAAAGGAGGAAAAACCCACCCAGTGTTCACGAGTTGTACTTTTAGATGAACCTTGAGTGTTTATGGATTTCACTGGATCAGTAGTATGATCTAGAAGCAAGTGAACAAATATGAACTGACTACCTCTCTGCTGCCTTCTCTACTGAACTAAAAAATATGAAATGAAGAGACAGTACTGTGCAAAATGTACCCCCAGATGGCACAAATGGTTAACATGCTTAGCTGCTAACCAAAAGGCTGCAAGTTCAAGTTCATCCACAGGTATGTTTTCTTTAGTTTGTTGTTGTACAGAAGCAGCACTAACTTTTGACCAAAATGCTCTAGGTTCAAATCACAGACTGCTGCTTAAAATATGTATGGCTAATGGAAGATTACTTAGTTTATCAAGTCTAATTCTCTCAAATGCAAAGTGCAGTAAATAATCCCTACTCAGCCGAAGTGTTCCCAGATTAGAGATGATGCACATAAAGCATCCCAAACAAACTCTTTCTTGTGCTTCAATAAATGGTAGTCAAACTTGATATGAAGTATTGACTTCAATTTTTTATTTGTAATAATCTGATGGATGCAGCAATTTATTGGAAATTTATACAATGAATTATAATTTGCAGTCAGAATATTCCTTAGAAGGGAGGATAGTAAGACTTCATCTTGTATACTTTGGGCATATTATCAGGAGGAACCAGTCCCTGAAGAAGGACACCATGCTTGGTAAAGTAGAGGGTCACTGAAAAAGATGTAGACCCTCAATAAAATGGATTGAACAGTAGCTGCAACAATAGGTTCAAACATAACAACCTCTGTGGTGCAGGACTGGGCAGTCCTGGGCTCCATTGTGCACGGAGTCACTGTGAGTTGGAGCCAATCTGATGGCATCTAGCAACAATCACCCCATAAAGCAAGGACCACCTAATTTTACAAGCAACTGTATCAAGTAGAAAATCTTTCTAACTGTCCTAAATTTATCTATTTTAATTCAGGTTTATAGATACATATTGCACTGAGGACTCATGAACAATCTCAGGTTCGCCTCATTCATTCCACTATGATGGTATGGGCCTTGAACATAAATAAAGGAAATAGTTTTCCTTAAATCCATCAGATAAGTAGAAAAGGCTGATTGAGAGGAATGGTTGAGTAGTCTAAATGAGAAGTTCACAACATTATTGCTCCAATATTTTCATCTCAAAATCTCTTCTATGTTCAATCCTTAGGATATTTTATGTATTTCTTGAGTCGAGTTTGGGTTTCCCTTATATAACTGCTTTTAGCCTTATTTTTATAAAGTAAAGGTATGTTCGACTCTGGAAATGATTTTCCATTTTCCCTCCATGTCAGTTAATTACAAATGCAGAGGAAAGAAAAAATAGCTATTAAAGCTAATTTGAGGCAAGTGTTAAACAGTGAACCTTAATTTATTTCAACAGTATTACTATTTTGAAAATCATTAAAATTGGTGTTTTGTAATTAAACTTAATTTTGACTTTTATTTGGTGGGACTGGGTAATAGTGAATCAATTGTCTCTCTGCTGATACATCTATATCTTCACCCACCATCCAATGATTGAGGTCTACTATGAAAGTACTGGACCTCAAGGTTGGTGGCAGTTCAAACTCCCTAGTCGCTCCTGGGAAACCCTATATAGGGTTGCTATAAGTTGAAACTGACTCGATGACACTTAAAAACATATACAAAGCACAAAGACATACTGAGAGCTGAAAAGACTCCTTTTACTCAGCCTAATCTGTGTTTCAGGGAAGTAGATGAAAATTACCTGTTTCTAAATACTCGTAGAAGAGACCAAGGTTCCCAAAACTTTCCAAGTCATGATCCTGCTCCCATCGACTATATAATTTCTCAGAGTTGGTCCGAGATTTTCGGCGTCTCCACCAATTTAGAAGAAAGCTGTTGGAAGTGAAATAAGTAAAGAAATGAAATAGAGTTAAAGAGGAAGGGTCAGAGAATTGGAGTGCTATGTCTAGAAATTGGAGTCAGAGATGTTAAGTGTAAATTAAGATCACAGACTAACTTTGAGATATGAGTACTGCTAACTTCCAAGTCAATATCTAGTATTCTCTTTACAATACATGTTGTGGCCAAGAGTTATTTATTAGGGTGGTTAATAATAGGAAGTGTTGAGGCTTTGTAGGATAAGCACCAGACTGCTAATCACAAGGTTAAGCCTACCAGCTACTCCACTGGAAAAGATGAGGCTTTTGGCTTCAGCAGAGTTACAGCCTTGGAAACCCTACATGGAGTCACTATGAGTTGGAACCAACTCAACAACAACAGATAATATCAACTCTCCCCACAGAAATATGTTTGCTCAGACAGAGTTCTAGTGAACAGTATGTGGAAGAGGGAGTTAGCACTGTTGTTGCTGCTGCTGTTAAGTGCCATCGAGTCAGTTCCGATCCAAAGTGACCCTGTATACAAGGAGTGGCTGGTGGGTTTGAACTGCCAACCTTGCAGCTCAAACTGGCCTTGCGGTCCAGTACATTATCCTGCAATGCTATACCAGGTGGTTAATGAGTACTGATGCCATGTTCTTCTTCATATGATCCAGCATCTCAGATTATCTGCTCTGCATATAGATTGAACAAGGATGGTGAAAGGATACAACTCTGGTGCACACCTTTTTTTTTTTTTTTTTAACAATTCAGTATCTCATTGTTCTGTTTGAACAACTGCTTCTTGGTCTATATACAGCTTCCTCATGAGCACAATTAAGAGTTCTGGATCCATAGTGATGATCCACACCATTGAACGTCTTTGCACAGTCAATAAAGCACAAGTAAATATCTTTCTGGTATTCTCTGATTTCAGCCAAGATCCATCTGACAATATCCTTAGTTCCAAGTCCTCTTCTGAATCTGGCTTGAGTTTCTGGCAAAAACCTTTCAATGTACTGCTGCAACACTTAACAACAACAAGAAGCAACATTTTATTTGCATGTGATATGAATGATATTGTTTGATGATTTCCACATTCTGTTTGGTCACCTTTTTTTTTGAAATGGATATAACTATGGATCTCATCCCACTGGTTGATCAGGTAGCTGTCTTCCAAATGTAATGATGTAGTGATTCTCTGTTTTGTAAGCTGATACGGTCAGGCTCCATTTTCACATAATACCAATTTTCACATAATGACCTGGTCTTTGGAACCTAACCAAGTCAATAAGCGTGTAGTCGGTGTAGTTTCTATGCTTAATCACATTATTGCTGTCACTGTTGCAGTCCATCTTTATTAGGGGTCTTACTCTTCTTTGCTGACCCTCTATTGTACCAAGTAGGATACCCTCTTCAGGAACTAATCTCTCCAAAGTCTGTGAGGTGATATTTCACCACTCAGTTTTAAGGAGCATCCTGTATGAACTTCCTTCAAGCTCAGATGTGCTCTCTTTTGACAGTTCATGATACATTCAATATTTTTCTCTAACACTAAACTGCGTCAATGTTAATTGTCCTTCAATCTTCTTTATTATACAG